GGTTTCGAACGAACCCAGAGCTTGGGTTTGATCGAAACCCAGGCAAGGCTCTGGGTTCGATCGAAACCCAGGCAGCTTGGGTTTCCTAGGCATCTTGAACCCAGAGCTTGGGTTTGATCGAAACCCAGGCAAGGCTCTGGGTTCGTTCGAAACCCAGAGCCTGGGTTCGGCTCTGGGTTTCAAACGAACCCAGGAGAAAAATTCTCTTTTTTTTTTTTTTCTGTGGATTTGGTTGGTTGATGATGATGAAGAAGGCTCGAATGGGTTTAGGGAAGAAAGGGGGAGAAGGCATCTTGAACCCAGGCTGCCTGGGTTTCGAACGAACCCAGAGCTTGGGTTTGATCGAAACCCAGGTTGCCTGGGTTCGCTCGAAACCCAGAGCCTGGGTTCGCTCGAAACCCAGAGCCTGGGTTCGGCTTTGGGTTTCGAACGAACCCAGGAGAAAAATTCTCTTTTTTTTTTTTTTCTGTGGATTTGGTTGGTTGATGATGATGAAGAAGGCTCGAATGGGTTCAGGGAAGAAAGGGGGAGAAGGGTTCAGGTTTTGCAGGAGGTGGGACTCACTTTTTTTTCTTGATTGGTTTTGGGGCAAAATGGGTCATACCGCCATGTCATCTTTTTTTCCAGGTGTGCGTTTGAGGTGTCATTTTATTGTTGACGTGTCATCGTGCTTTTGTTAATCAAAGACACGTCACTAGATTTTTAACGGATTTTTAACGGAGGGACTAAATCGGGGTCAAAATGGTAAACAGTAGGGACCAAATCAGGGATTTTTTGAGTTGAGGGACTAAGTCGGGGTCCGTACAATAGTTGAGGGACCAAAATGGGGGTTTAACCTATAATAAATAATGCATAAAGATGTAAGAAATAAAAAAGGACGAAGAGAGAATGCAGAGAATTTTTAAGTTGTCAGATCCCATAGATATATCACATATCCAACACTTAATCATGGCTGAAATTGCATCATCAAGATGATTTCTCTATACCACATAATCAGTATATTTCCTCTTGCTTTTGCATCTCAAAAGCAGGTGGGACTTCACATGAAAATGGTGCTAGATGGATGTATTTCAGTCCTACCTGTTTTGCTTTCTCAAACTGTCCACAAGCTGCATATGCACTAATAAGTGACATAAATATGTGCTTCGTTACTGTAATCCCAGAACACTTCAGTTCTTCATAATACTACAAGCAAATAATCAAATTATTGTATCAGTGGCCATGAAACCCATTTGCAGCATGACAAGAATAGAAGTAGCAATAATGCAAGAGACAGCAGAGATGAACTTATCTACATATAGAAACAGGGAAGACATAAATTTCAAGCAATTACTACATTGCATCAAACTACCTTGATAATATCCTCTTCACAGTCACAATGGGCTATTAGATAGCTGTAAGTTTGGGGATCTGGTTTTACACTGTCAAGTTCCATTTGCTTGAGAACCCTCAACCCATCAGAAATTTTCTTCTGAAAATTATTATATAACAGTGGCATAAATCATGCATGAGGCATGTTCAAGATTAAAATGGCAATAAAACTTTTCCAAAAGAAAAGAAGAAACAAAATAAATACAAAAGGATTAGACTGTAAAATTACCTCTCGAAAATATCCTGCCATTATAGTATTATACATGCCAGCTACAAGTTTAACGTTCATTTTCCTTGAATCATTCAGCATCGCATATGCACCATCAAACTGCATTTAATGGATGAGAAGAAATACAAGCTCTATTTAACTTAAACTCAGAATAAAATTAGTTTGATAAAATACACCCCCCATCAAAATGAAATTAGGAATTATGAAAAGCAAAAAGAATTAACTATGCACAAGCACTGGGAACTACAAAACAGGAGAGCTGGATAGCAGCTTACATCTTTCATTTTCACACTCAAAATTATCATCCTTCTAAATGTCTCAGCATTTGGCTAAAGGTTATGGCAACAGATCACTGAATAAATTC